ATCATGTTTGATCACAAAAAGTTCTGTAACATTTCCACATTCTTTTAAAAAATCCAAAGAAATATATCGACGTTTGCTACTTAGATAACAGTTAAATAAAGTAAAAAAGTATCGTTTTCTTAAATAAGTGGTATTTGTAATTGACAGCGAATTTGAAAATATACATTATCCCTATAAAATAGATTTGGTGGTGAAAAATAAAACGGAAAAGAGCAAGAAAGATTACTTTTTGATGATGAACGTTAAAACTAAGTTGAATTATTTGAGTTTTTCTGTAAATGTGTATGATTTACCAAGAACACAAAATACATGGTACATTATCGAAAGGATAGTGTTTTATCATTATCATTATTATCAATATAATTATGAGCATGTCAGTATCCAGTGAAACATATGATACATTTTATATGTACCACATCAGCTTATTTGATCCCAGTTAATTGACACTTTGATCCTTATCACAACAATGTCAAGTGTATACATATCTTATCCTCCTTGATCGATTTGGCTCTTAATATTCATTATCGTCAGGAGAGTGCACATGCATTTAATATGCATAGTGCTAAATAGAAGACCCCGTTATGCATATATACATTTCTATAAAACCATGTTTCGAAAGATTGTATTAAAAGAGTGATCTATTTTTTATGTTCAATATTGCAGCTATGGAAATATTTACTAAGTCCAGCTTTAAAATTAGACGTGTACACCTTCTTGTAATATAATGCGTTGACTGCGTCTCCTGTTGTTGACGCGCTGTCCAATTTCCACCAGTCCCCTGTGAATGAAATAAACATGAAATGAACAAAGTCATCAATTTCACACACGTCGCTCTTAATCATCCCTCCGAATCCGTAAAATCTCGAGCCACGCGCACACCCTCTGTTTTCACGAGCACCGGCAATGCTTCAAATATTAGGATATGTACAACGGTCCGCGCGCGACTAGTGCACGTGCCGTGAGCACGCGAGCTGAAATGAACAAGCTATTCGTCAGCAGTTGTATATTGCAACGCATGGCATCAATAAACATGATCATCTGCCGGGGATCAAACAATTTAACAGATGCAAAAACGCCATCGCGTGTCTATTGTGACACGAAACATTGTATTCATTAGTTTTTTACAAGAGTTAACTTGAGATTTATACTTTATTCGCGGAAGAACGGGGCACCACATTTCCAGGGAAATGTGAACCTCGGTTTAATTTGATTGAGCTTAAATTAAGCGACAAGTTGGGTGGTTGGAAATGAGAAATCAATTTTGACTAATTTTTCATGGTCTTTTTACGACGTTATGAAACAATATTTTTTTAGTTAAAGTTCATTTTTTTTATATCGCAAATTTAATATTTGAAATTAACTGTTTAATTTTGTAATTTTATCGAAGTAATGAAGCATCATTTCCGTTTAAATTTATGTACATTTTGAATTATTTCATAATGACGGTGTGTATGTAGCATGTGGCTCACATTGTGAAGTGTTTGAATAAAATATATTAAAAAATGCCACTAAACCTCGAATTTCAATGAAACAAATTATCCATGAAAGTACTTGATTGAAGAGGATAGCTGATTTGTTAAGAATCTCACAAGACTTCGGCCTCTTACCATTCGAGTGGGTGGATGGTAGTTTAGTTTAATCGCAATTAATAGAAATGCGGCAATATAACGGTCGGGGTACCGAACAATAGGCTTATACGAAACAACCACCCTCCCTCTTGCCTTAGACGTGCGTGATATCAAAACTGATGGGCAGGTTCAGTTTATAAGATTTCAGTATTAAAGTACGCCATAAATTTGATTAGAAAATATATTTAGAAAGCATATTAAGAGGAAGTAAACACCGAAATATTAAGTAAGGTTGGAACAAAAAACCCAAACATTCAAGTTAATTATTCCCATGGTACACTTTGGAGACTGAATTGAGTTTATGGGTGGTGAAACTGATGGGTGTAAATGCTATAACTCAAAAGCCGCACAGCAGTGGTGCGATTCGTAGACGTTGGTCTAATGATGATTGTGATGATGATGATCATCATCATCAAAAGCCTCATAGCAGTGGTGTGATTCGTAGACGTTGGTCTAATGATGATTGTGATGATGATGATGATGATGATGATGATCAAAAGCTTCATAGCAGTGGTGTGATTCGTAGTCGTTGGTCTAATGATGATGATGATGATGATGATGATGATGATGATGATACGTCACACACATTTAATAAAAATGTTTAGGAAAAGCAAAAGTACAACCGCCTGGCTGTTGAATGGTTTAAGTAGGGTTAAGGCGGATCAAGGATTTTCCTAGACGGCTGGGCGCTTTTGAAATGTTTAACTTCAGTGGGGATCGTATGTGGGGATTATGTTCAGTGGGTTCACTTGTCAATATACATGTGTATTTCAATAAACTGAAGGTATATTGGTGGGCCATGGGGTTTTCTTTATTTGGGCCCAGAAATATATTGTTATTTGCTTGTCGTAAGAATCGGCTAAAGAGCATCGGGTGGTCAGTCTCGGTAACTTGGTAAATTCTGTGTCACCGTACCCCGACGGCGTGGAATTTTGATCATAATATCAAGCACTGGTTTGTCTGGTCCAGAATCCAGTATTACAGGCCGGCGTGACCCAGCTGCACTATTGCGGACTGCCGGATGAGACAATAAACGACGAAACAAATCTCCGTCTTCTACATTTCAGATCATAGTATCCTACACTTGTGTGTTGGGTTCAACGCCGCAGTGTAGTTGAAGCACAGTACGTCAGTTTAATGAAGAATGAAAGCCCGAAGTGACACGTTTAGCACTTGAACCCACAGCGTTGATAGAGCAAGGGCGATAATCTGGGATTCAAACCCACAATAAACAGAACTTTGGCACGGCCATTGCAATGACACAGACCACTGGGTTGCCGGCCCAGACTCCCCGTCAGAGGAGAGCCAACTCCTGAACACTTGCTGTATCCGTCGCGACTGACATCTGTCTGCCTTTCGACGACAGTGTTTAATCTGCTGCGTCACATTAGCAATAGTGTAATTGTATTAATAACGTTAACGTTTCATGTCACAAACCACTCTAAGTTGTATCACATTTGTTTCAATCATTCAATGACCCGTGAAGATCCGGGGTAGGATAGGTCTTCAGCAACCCCTTCTTGCCGTAACAGGCGACTATGCTTGTCGTAAGAGGCGATCGTAACGGGATCGGGTGGTCAGGCTCGCTGACTTGATTGATGCATGTCATCGAGCCCAATTGCGTGGATCGATGCTCAATCACTGGATTGTCTGGTCCAGACTGGATTATTTACCGACCGCCGTCATATAGCTGGAAATATTGATGAGTGCGGCGTTCAACAAGAAACCATCCAACCAATCAATACTTTAAGATTAAAACGGTCTTTATCTAGAATTCGTTTATTTGTTGTCATTTCAAATACTGTTCTTTTCTTAAAGCAAGATAACAATACTTTGAAAATAATTCAAGATTATTTCGCACATGAATGCTCAAACAATCTTTTAACATAATTACTCTGTTGTAATATATCTTTATTTTTCTTTGGTACTCCAAATATAGGGTACTCAGGCGTTTTTTCGCCTTTGTATAACGAACTTTCAAGATGGATGGATTTCCTGATGAGCGTCCAAAGATTCACCAGCACCGCCTGAGCGAGAACAGCAATGTATTCTCCACTTCTGCTTCGAAGCACCATATTGATTGTGAGTGACGCTACGGCCTAAGGGAGATCACTCATGATCACTAACATTTCCAATGTCGGGTGGCGGTTCGAGTTGGCTCGCCTCTCAGCATAGTTCGAGCCTCCATCTGTGATGGGGCTCATATTTTGCCAAAAGCAACATAATACTCCATTCATTCACTCATTCATTTCAAATCCCTTTTGAACCATTTGTAATACAAATCTGTAGTATAAGATTTACGTTTTTATACACGAAGTTTAAGCTTGTTTTATCTCTTTACACTTTCCTTTGACAGCAAACTATAGGTGGGAGACAGTTTGGTTTAACCCTCCTTTAAACAATATTTCCGTTATATCACGTCTCAGCTTGATGCGGGAGGAAAACTTGAACTGATGCAGGCCTTAAGCCCCCGTTACACTATCAAAAACTTTGTTCAAAAACTTGGTCAAAGAAATTATGTTAAAAAACAAGTTTTCTTGGTCCAAGTTGGACTGTTTACACTCATCAAAGTTTTTGGCAGGCCGTCAAAGTGTTGGTGGGAATTATCTTGCCAAGGTGGATGCTACTGACGAAGAATTGTTTGCTGTTGTCATATGTATTTTGTGTATTGCCATGTTGAAAAGGCGGCGGCGGGGTAGGCAAAGGCATATTTGGTCCCGTGAATGGCCGCTCGTTGTTGAAACAAATCAATTAATTCTTCCAACATCTCGTCAGTCCAAAATAGTTGACTCATTTTGACTTGACTCTATGCACTTCCGGTTTAAAAGGGGTAAATGTTCCTTGCAGTCACTAAGCATGGCTATGGTGCAGACAAACCTGGAAACATAATCAGGACGAACTGGGATTCGAACCCCCGATCAAAGGTCTCTGACATGCCCAAAAGACGCAACTCTCCAGAGTATTGTGGCACCTAAGATGACTTGGCCACCCATGCCTACTACAGCAGTGAGGCAAACGCCATCACAAAATTGTTTGTTCACCAAAGGGGAATAACTTACAATAATTAATACAGACAGACAAATATATCCCTAAGGCTGATTTGTGTTTAACTTCGATAAATAATTTAAGTATCATAATGTCATGAATCTTCTCTCCCTCTGGGGGGCACGGGTGCCCCTGTCGTCTAAGAGTTGCGTCCCTTTGGCACGCCAGAAACCTATGAATGTGGGTTCGAATCCTGTTTCGCCCTGATTATGTTTCTAGGTTTGTCAGCACCATACCCGTGCTCATGGGTTTCACCGAAGTGGTAAACATCCGAGACCTGCATCACTTTGGGCTTTCCTCCCACATTAAGCTGACACATCGTGTTATAACCGGAATACTGTTAAAAGCAGCGTTAAACCCAACTCACTCACTCAATCACTCATTCTCTCTTCTTCAATTTCATCTAACAATATTGACTGTATGTGACATTCCTTTACAGATGAATAAAACTCCTATAAATATTTCATCACCAATTTTTAACAGATTACATCAGTCAACAAATATTATGACCATATCACGTCAGACAAACCAGTGGTTGATAGCATGAATATAATTCACACATTGTAACCTGGATCTTCACTGTATTTGCTCAAGGCCAAGCATCGTGCAGCAGGATCTTTGCCTTCACTGACATCCCCTTGTCTCCGGCTCTAGTGTCACATTTGTCCATAGCCTTGTCACTGATACATGTAGCACTGGGATCGTCAGAGATTTCAGTGATAGTAACAGTTGACTTGCTTGCTTGTTGCTTGACTGTTTCAGCTGCCTGTCTGCGCTGTCGCACCAGGGAGTCGGCCCACATCAGATCCTCCTCCCACAATTCCCGGTCAGCCGGGTTGAGGTGAACTGCCATGGAGAAGCTGTGCAGAGCCTGAAGGAGGAAACACAAACTGCGGATGGGGAATTTGTTGATGAGGAAGTTGTTGTTTGGGAATTTGTTGATGCGAAAATTTGTGGATGAGGAATTTGTTAATGAGGAAATTGGGGGGAGGATTTGTTTATGGGGAATTTGTTGATGAGGAATTTGTTGACAGGGAAAGTGTTTATGAGGAATTTGATCAGTAATCCATTGAGGAAGAATTTGATGTTGAAGAATTTGTTGATGATAAATTTGTCGAGAATTTTGTTAGGAGGATTTGTTGATAGGGAATTTGATGATGAGAAATTTGATGTGGAATTACAGATTAATTATCCCTACCTTACAAGACAAATGAGATTGTATAAAATATATGAAGCACATTGAATAAAGATTTCATGACATAAATTATAAAGACATAGTTAAATTCATGTTTGTATCAAGGGGATCCAGGGTGTTTGTAGGTGTTTGTGTGTGAGTACAAATTAGTACGAAGGTATCATGTTTTTTCTTACTATAGGGATCCATATGTGAACCCCGTTTTTTAAAGAAATGACATGCTTCATGCTGAAGCCATAATTAATTTTTGCACATCACAAAGTAACTGTGAAATACATGTGTAAGTCAATACATCACATCAACACTATTTCAGATGTATGGATACAAAAACTACATGTGATAGTGGCAGAGTGAAAAGTCTAATAGAACCCTCTTGAAAGATTATTTCAAGTTCAGTTACATTCCATTTTCATGTTGAAGAATCAGTTTATGAAAAATTACACTAACCCAGTTTCTCAATTTAGCCACTTATAGATCAGGGTCCACTTGCACAAAGCGATCTTAGCTCTAAGACTATTATAAGCCTATGTTAAAGTATGGGAGTTACGATCATCTTAGCGCTAAGATCGCTTTGTGCAATTGGGCCCTGGTTGATGCTGTAAACAACTTAAAGGGGCACTGATCTAACGCAATTCCCCGGGACTGGTTGTTGCCTTTGTTATTGTTTTTTCCCATTGAGTACCCGGATGTATAACAGAAATCTAGACTAGTTCGCGACCTCTGCTGCGCCATTCGTAAGCGCATTAGTCACTTTTATGGGTAGTAATAAGGGCGTATGGTCACATTGATCAACAAAATGAAATACAGTTTTCGAGATAATAAGGAAATGTAGGTATCTCTGTGAGTAGCATCGGTAATGGTGACGAAGTTTTGATAAGTCACTTGCTTGGTAATTTTCGTTTACACTATTTTGACTTGCAACACAAAGTAAATATTTCACCTGAGCATATGCTTTTTTTATAGTGTGTATATCTTTTTACTGTCAAATGTGTAACGAATTTATTAAACGTCTAAATATTCAGTTATTTTACAAAGTGACTGAAAAACATTTCCATCTGTATTATTATGACAACGAATTCCAAACATTTTGATGTTTAATGTCATCACCAAGAGACTGAAAATGTTGCGTTGAAAAGTACATTTCTAAGTTGTTTGGCTTTTAATCCTACATAATAATCTGTTGTGATGTTTGTAGGCCCTTTTGATCGTCTTGATCAATCTGGACAGATTTTTTAGTCAAAATGACTGAAATATTTACACATTTTATAAATTGCCTGAGAGAATCACATTTTACAAATTGACGGTAATATATACACGCTTACAAAGGAAAAGACCTGTGACAACGACGTCTATCGCGCATTGAAGAATTTCCCAACCAAGACTTAGAGAAACAAGAACGAATCGGTTCAAATGGAGGAAAACAAAAAATGCAAATATCATAATTACAACCTACCAAATTTATGTGTATAAGTTTTAGGCAGCTTCCTTGTTCGAGGAATGTATCCGTGAATATCCACACAAAGGAACAATATCCCACTCGTGTGCAGCTGTACAAAGAAACTTATTCGATGTCACGTGTCTCAGTAACAATCAAATATTTTAAAAGATATATATCGTTTCGGGATATTATAACCCGTGTTCGTTTCTCAACTGATCGCTTGGATTGTTTCAGGTGTTTTACATAGGTGTCAAGTCTCAATGGTCAGCTGAGAAAGCCCACGTGACAACTATTTTCTTAACGTCCACGGTTTCTAAACATTCCATTGAGTGATAGATAACAATGATCAATCAATCAACGTATTATCAGTTAACCCTTTGAACAAAGTATGTTGTTTTTACATCGGCACTTCGCGCCATGATATGAGTGTATTCCCTTTGTTTTAGTAAACCTAGACATGTAGACACTCACTCTTGACATATCCACTGTGCAAGATAACAGTGATTAATCAATCAACGTATTTTCTGTTAATCCTTTGATGACTAGGAACGATCCGTTGATTTACAAAAAAAAGTAAATCAACTGATCATTCATCTCTTGCTGGGCTGCCACGTGCATATTACATAACACACATTTCACCTCACTTCAAACCTGGATTTAGATTGAATAATTACCCCAGACACAATAAATGCCAAATGGGAACCTTTGTCAGGTAATCTAAGTGGTGCTACCACTAATTGTACCTGTAATAAATTCATTAACTGAGCATCAAGTGAATGATGTCAAATACACAAGTGTAGGGTTATAAGAGAAAACGTGGATGAAAACAAGGGAGTAGTAATCGTATTATCGACGCAAGCCGAAATCCAAAAAATGCTTTCACTGCATGGATACTTTTTTTAGTATTAAACTATAACCATCTGGGGTATTTCCAAATGACCACATCCGATGAGCTCCCTTGTTCTTTATGTCTGTTTGTTTAGGCTGAAGAAATTAATTAACAAGCGCCCTTTGTCGAAATCTTTATAGATCACAGTTAACCAATCAGTGTTCAAAAATGCGTAAAACAAATATTGCCTCCAGCCTCCAAGTTTATTTAGCTGTCCTTGCAGACGGTACCCTAGTCTCTGGTCACGCTCAGTTGCGTTGCGTATCATCCGGGTACTCACGGGGGAAAAACAATAACAAAGGCAACAACCAGTCCGTTAGATCAGTGCCCCTTTAAAGACTATGGTCAAGGGGAGGTAATCCACGAACGAGTTATCTCCCCTTCATTAGGGGCAAATGAAGGCAATTTGACTCTGGTATGCCATAAAAGCATCGAACTACAGCCAGACAGTTAATTATACATTATATATTCATAAAACACAGGTGCATGGTAAGACATATTTCCTATGGCAGATAGTATGGTATAATGAGCTGACCCCTTGAGGATGTCGCACATGGTGCCTACAAGAGCTCACCAGTCTCACTTCTCCCAGGTTGAGTTGTGCTCGCCCCAGGGTCTGGTGACCCACCCACCAGGTGGGACAGACTTCAACAGCCTTCCGCGCCGCCGACACCGCCGGGTACAACTCATTCAGCGCCATCAGCGCCTAGACAAACAAAATTAATAACTGTAATAAAATAGGAGTATGGGATACAATTTTGTATTTTGCTCAAGTGGTTTTCTAGAGGAATTTAACTTTGGTGTGAACTCCTATGGAGGTATCCTCAGGTCTTCATGCAGAAAGTATTGTCTCAGAGTAGATCTTAAAGATTTTTAGGAGATTGTCCAGTGGCTAACATTAAAAACCTTGACCAGGCGGGGTGAGGTAAGGTGAGGTGAGGTGAGGTGGGGTTTAAGATTATAGCTGTGCGTGCGTCCCTCCGTGCTCTTGTACTAGTCCGGGCTAATGCTGAGTTTATAGTGCTAGCCCACTGAGATACCATACTGCAGTTTAACATGCATACCACCCAAACACACACAGTATACTGACTCGGAGCCGACCAGTCCTTGTTTTAGCCCCTTAATGCCGAGCCCCAGACAGGGTAACAACAAGTACCATCTTTTAACATCTTTTGGTATGATGCTGCGAGGGATTGAACCCCAGACCTTCCGCTCCCCAGGTGGACGCTCTACCACTAGACCACGGAGGCGGTCTTTCAACAGGTCGAAGGAAAGAAGACAAAAACTAGTTCAGATGCTTTTTCATAAACACTTTGCCCAGACACTTAAGGGAAGAAAGATCATGCAATGATCTGCCAGCAGACCCTAATATAATAGGTTGATGGCTACCTTAAAGATGGATAAGATTGAGTGAATGTTGTTTTACACCACAGTCAGCAATGTTCCAGCCATAGTATCTGTGCATAATTCTAGAACTGAGTCTGGGTAGGTGACCCAGGTGTTGAGAGCATGAACAAGAAACATCACTTAAACTGTAACCACCAGATCCTCCCCACTCAGCTGCCTGTGACAAGAACTGGGAACCTGCCCACGAGTCCCTCGAGGGACGCGTGTAACAATGTGCATGAAGGAAGTTGGGTGAGAAGGGTGTGCTTCCTGTGTCGCTAGAAGCACCACTCACCTGGGCCTTCATCTCATAGACCTTACAATTGAGTGGGTTAAAGTGGAGAGCTTCATCCCATTTCTTGATGGCCTCCCAGTATCTGCAGCACGTTACAAGTGGGTAAACAAAAACAAGAAATTGAGTAATGTGGTATACTGTACCCTGGCCTACACTTTGTTGGGTGAAGAAATCATTGACATGAAATTTCAATGACACTGACACATTTGATGCCAATATATGAACATATGAAAATTTAACCTTTTTTTCAAGTTTTTAATGAAATTTCTTGTCACTGTGTACTCTTTCTCAAATGTTGTTGTTTGTTTGTTTTTTTGTTGTTTAACGCCACACTCAGCAATATTCCAGCTATATGACGGCCATCTGTAAATAATCGAGTCTGGACCAGACAATCCAGTGATTAATATCATGAGCATCGATCCACGCAATTGGGATCGATGACATGCATCAACCAAGTCAGCTAGCCTGACCACCAGATCCCGTTAGTTGCCTTTTACGACAAGCATAGTCACCTTTTACGGCAAGCATGGGTTGCTGAAGACCTATTCTACCCCAGAATCTTCACGAGTCTTCCTCAAATGAATGGAAGCATGTGCTGAATTGCTAAATACGGTTCGAAGGTGGATAATTGTCTGGATTTATCACAGCATATGCACACTTTCCTTGATAAGGCATTTGTTACCATAGTCCAAAATTTAAAAAAAACACATTTGGAATGGTGAAACGAATACAGGATTCATTATATATCAAATTGATATTTTTAGAACTTTTAGAATATTATTGAAGAGTTGTCATACATATTGTACTGTGAGCATACAGTGACATTCCTAGTATGTTTGCACTAAATATTCAACAACACTCATGTATATCTGAAAGCACATCATGTTATAGCCATCTTCCCTAGTGCCATAAACTGCAGAGATTTTGGAAGAGAATGTAGGTCTTAGGCAACCTATGCTTGTTGGAAGAGGCAACTAAATGGATCAGGTAGTCAGGCTCGGTGACTTGGTTGATGGCATGTCATTGTATCCAAATTGCTCCTTGATGCTCATGATGTCAATCACTGCACTATGTGGTCCAGACTTGATTATTTACAGACTGCTGTGACATAGCTGGAATATTCTGAGTGCGGCTTTAAACAACAAAGAAACCGTACATCCTAAAAGTGTCAATGTTACCTGTCAGACTCTGCCAGGACACAACCCTCGTTCTTCAGTCTCTCGCTCTTGCCGACAGCATCTTCAAGGGAGATAATTCTTCTCTTTGGGGCCAGAGAAATCCAATCTATATCACCATTACGAACCTCTTCATCATCATCCTTGGTGTTCCCTTCAAATGACGCGGAGGTTGATTTGGAAACGTTTGTACCGGTTTTCCTTTTCCATCCAAAACTTGTCATTATATGTATTCAAATTTGGGATCAATAACCTTTAAATGGTCTGAAAAATAAATAACCGTCATATTATGTGATCCTTATTTATTTAAGGTGAGACTTTATTCATTTTACAGATTCTACTAACCCCAAATAATTCTGGTATTCGGTGTGGGGAGTCATTTATATTGTATACAAATAAACGTTGTACCTGATCAGTAACTAAATTTCACACACAAAAATCTTAAAACTTGGCACATTTGAAGAACTTTATCGTGATCGAAAACTGAACAGAACAATATAAACTTATGCCAGGGTCCTCAAATGAGTCAGCGTTAGCACCAACAAGACAGACACATCCATGAATGTGTTTCCAAGTAAACGTAAACGTACCCACTCTCTGTGTTATTAGTAGATACAGCAATTAGCATATGTTTTGTGTTCTTGTTTATCAGCTGGTCAAAGGTTCACTTCCGTAAATAATGAATAACATGTAATGTATGTTTTGATTGGTTGTATTTTACAACAGATGATTTCATTGGCCACATGGTCACGTGATTCTTGACGCATTGTCGCACATGTTTCAAATGGCCTTCGCAGCTGAATGAACTTCTTCTTAGAATGTGTACAGAGAAGAAAGCTGTATAAACTTCGAACCGGTGTTTTCTAGGACCCGATCAGGTTTTAGTAATCTTTGATTACATGTTCTTGTTGACATTACAATTATAGAAATTACATTGCAGCTTTTTTCAAGTGATCTTAATCTTACACCACACCCGAAACTCGTAAATGGCTTTGTTTATAAAATCCAGTTCAACTATCAGCAGATTATTGAATTAGAATATAGGCTGTCTCCCTACGAAACAGTGGATAATTACTTACTTTGTTCATATTAATGACAAGTTTTGCTGATACTAAAACACGTTGTCTTTCAAATAAATATTATTATTATTATGAATAATTTTGACAGATGATGAGGAAAATACCATTGGCTTGCTTATGATCAGCTGTGAGGTGATCTATTGATTTTAGATTACTTGCTATATGAATTTAAAAAGGCATGTATCCCTCGTGATCCTGCTGCAACTTTAAGTATAAGAGGGTGGATTATTAGTCGGGCAGCAATTAAAAAAATAATCATTATCACCTGATTCTGCCTTAACCATGTTAAAACATTTTGAGGGAAAGTTTATTGGAAAAGTTTGGGTTTTTTTCAGTTAATCATTATGGAGTCTGGGTGTATCACTTGTACTGTCACAATAGAGGAGCTGACAGCCACTGGTGATGTCATCAAGAAAACTCAACACAGAAACCTCATGCTTGTCCTCGGGCGAGACCAGTTCTCCGAAATGATTCTCAAAGTCAGTTACAGCAAGAAAGAAGTCAAATACCCAATTCGTGAATTAGTAATCCACAAGAAGTTTGTGAAAGATGGCAAAGCTACCATCAAACTTCCAGATCATAAACTTCAATTCCTTTTGAGTAACTGCCCACCGGACAAACTCATCATGTTCCTGAAAACAATGCATACGAAATTAGAATGTCTACGTCAAAAGGGATTTCTTAGTATGCGCAAGAAATTTTTATCTGATGTTCCAAAATCATTCCAAGACATCAGCCCATTGACGATTAAAGATCTGCAGACAGTTCACACTGCAAAAACTAAACTGGAACAGAGCAAACTCGCAGCACCAACACAGAAGTCCACAGTGACAGGGAAGAGGAAACGTACTGATGAGAAGGAAAATGTGACAGAGTCTCAGATGTCTGTGCAAGCTAAGAGGGCTAAGAGCTTAGCGATGATGTCTCCATCTAGAGTCGTGAACCCGCTGAAACTTAGCAAGGAACAGAACACTGTTCTTGAAGCTGTTCTCAGAAAGAGGAATGTGTTCTTTACTGGAAGTGCTGGGACAGGCAAATCTTTCTTGTTGAAGAGAATCATAGGTAATGATGCTGACATATTACCTAGTATAAACATCACAAATATCCCATGATTTGTGGATGCCCTTCAGTAGTGGGGAGTGATCAGCTTTATGTGTAGCCTGTTATTATCATCATTAATGTTAGCTATGTTTATTGACATTGATTTGAATTACGTTAAGTTCAGCTGAACGTGTGATGTTTAGTTTGACCTTAATTTTCAGGAGCTCTACCACCTCATCACACATTCGCCACAGCCAGTACTGGGGTCGCGGCCTGTCACATAGGAGGGACAACACTACACGCCTTCGCAGGTACATCTTCGAGGCTAAACAGTATCTAGTCTCAGTGTCTGGGCCCAGTGACTTGTTTGTTGCTCATACTGGAATTCCGATATGTGAAGATCCATGATAGAAGAGGTCTTCAGCAACCCTGCTTGCCATAAAAGGTGACAATGCTTGTCGTAAGAGATGACTAACAGGATCTGGTGGTCAGGCTCGCTGACGACTTGGTTGATGCATGTCATCGTATCTTAATTGTGTTGATCAATGCTCATGTCAATCACTGGATTGTCTGGTCCAGACTTGATTATTTACAGACCGTCTTCACATTGCTGGAATATTGCTGAGTGTGGCATTAAACAACAAACAAACCAACTGTAATTCCAGTCTCAATGATATGTATACAACACTTCACAGACCCCTCCCATTTGTAACATGTTGCCAGGTATTGGTTCAGGAAGGGCCCCCCTACAACAGTGCGTGGAGCTTGCATCTCGCCCCCAGGTGGCGCAACAGTGGAAGAAATGCCACCATCTGATTATTGATGAAATATCTATGGTGGATGGAGACTTCTTTGACAAGCTGGAGACAGTTGCTAGGTAACCTAATATTGAGAAATTGCTGAATTGAAATATTGATGAGATTTTGTCTTCTCTTAGTAGATCGAACATCTTCACGGACGTTAATGTTAATTTCTCATTACAAAGTAAAGTCCATACAACCACAGTGGGGATTCCTGGTTAAAATATGTGCTTGTTGTACGGCCCGGTGATTAGTTTGACTGCGTGTCATCCTCCTCCAACAGTGTGGGACAGTGGTCATACATTCAAACACATTTTTCTGATCTAGACTTAATCATCTACCTGCCGTCATTAACCCGTGATGATCTGGGTAGAGAATAGGTCTTTAGAAACCCGTGCTTGACATAAGAGGCGACAAACAGGATCAGGTGGTCAGACTCCCTGACTTGGTTGATGCATGTCATCTTTTCCCAATTGCATAGATCGATGCTTATGATGTCGATCACTGGAATGTCTGTTCCGGACGTAATTATTTACAGAACACTGTCATATAGATAGAATATTGCTGAGTGCAGCATTAGACAACAAACGTCAGCATATTTATAGCCGGAATATTGTAATTATTGCTGAGAGCGGCGTAAACAGCAAGCAAACAAACAACTTCTTCATATATTAATTTTGACAAAATATGAAAATAAGAAAATAAACCTCAAAATAACTTAAACTTCATTTTTTTGATATTTAAATCTTTTTGCCTTGTGCAACTTTGCATTTTGACCAAGAGATCTGTATTACCTCAAACATGTTAAACCATGCCATAGTATGTCAGATAGCGTGAATCTGAGAAGCATTTGTTTGAATGTGATTTGTGTGTAACTGTTAACATGCTCCGGAACATCCTAATGAATCCGTTGAACATGTATCGACACTCCATTGTGATTAGCATATCGATTCACCGCTGGGGATTCTGGGTAAGAAAATAGATCCCCAGCAACCTGTGCTTGTCATAAGAGGCAAAGAAATGATCCAGGTCAGTGAGTTCATTGATGGCATGTTGTCTTATCTCACATTGCGGGGATTAATGTTCAATGATCATTGATCGATCACTGGATTTTCTGGTCAAGGCTTGATCATTTACAGACCGCTGTTCTATAGCTGGAATATTGCCGAGTGCAGTGTTAAACAACAAACAAAGAAATAAGTTTGATATGTACTGTATTTCCAGAGTCGTGCGTCAGACAGACGAGCCGTTCGGCGGCATCCAGCTGATTGTCTGTGGAGACTTCCTGCAACTGCCGCCAGTCATCAAGGATCAGGCGGTCAAGAGGAAGTTCTGTTTTCAGGTTAGTCTGACACAGTAACATCTAAAATAAACCCACATTATTTCATGGTAATCTTGGCTATGTTCCTCTTCAACCTTTTCTTTTCACTAAATAATTTATTTGGTACAGAAATCTTTTACACATTTCATGCACTAGTTCATTAAAGTTGCTCAGTCTGAGAATATACGGGTGTTGCCTAACTAATTTCCATGTAGATACTTTGAGAGATTGTGTCATACATTGAGAGATTGTGTTATACATTGAGAGATTGTGTCATACATTGAGAGATTGTGTTATACATTGAGAGATTGTGTCATACATTGAGAGATTGTGTCATACATTGAGAGATTGTGTCATACATTGAGAGATTGTGTTATACATTGAGAGATTGTGTCATACATTGAGAGATTGTGTCATACATTGAGAGATTGTGTTATACATTGAGAGATTGAGTCATACATTGAGAGATTGTGTTATACATTGAGAGATTGTGTCATACATTGAGAGATTGTGTTATACATTGAGAGATTGTGTCATACATTGAGAGATTGTGTTATACATTGAGAGATTGTTTTATACATTGAGAAATTGTGTTATACATTGAGAGATTGTGTTATACATTGAGAGATTGTGTTATACATTGAGAGATTGTCTAAGTTGTATGAAAGGATGAGTTTTACACTCAGTAAGGTAGTGTCACATAGTGATTGAGATTGTTTTACACAGGGATATTGTGCTATAAAAATGGAATTTGTGTTCCACAGAAGGTGATTGTGTTAGACTCAGATGTAGGGACAGTGTCAGGTGTGATGTGATTGTTTCATTTTATTTCTTTTAGCATGTGTATATGTATGTGCAGGCCTCAAAGTTTGAATTTTTACCAAGTAGCCATATGGCTAATAGCATTTTCTTGCACATAGCCAGTGGTAAAATCAAGAAGTCAAGCCAATACTGTAGGTAGCCAAAAGCATTTGAAATTATCTTTTATCAACTATCATAATATGTACAAGTCATAGCACTATTCTGAAGCTGTCATATAGCTGGAATATTGCTGAGTGCGGCGTTTAACAACAAACCAACCAACCAACAAGTCTTGAAATTGTATATTAGTGGAAACTGTACTTCTTCTTTTTTGTTATTTGTGACTCAAACAATGATGCAATTTATGCCACTAGATTATTTAGGTATATCCTTGCTTATCCAATGAGCATTGTCAACTGAAATAAAATACTAATTACATTAACATTTTTGTATTTCTGTTCATTGTTGACTTCAGGAGAACTTATACGCAAGTACAATTATTGGCAGACATGTTTTCCACAATCACCTGTTATTTTTTTTTGTGAAGCAATAGAATTTAGTTGCCACAAAATATTTTCAAGGTAGTCATTTGGCTACCTCTGAGTTTTAGACAGTAGACAAATTGAAATTTAGGGCGAATTGGCGACTGTTTTAGTCACAACTTTGAGGCCTGACTGTGTCCTGTATGTACATATATATATTCAACATGTGATTGTGAAACAATTATAAGCCTGTTAGTGTTGACCAGAATGATTGTTTGTCACTGTTGTGAGGTGTATGTGTTGGTTACAGTCGCGGGCGTGGCAGAAGTGCATGCATGTCAACCTGGAACTGAGCGAGGTCCGGAGACAGTCGGACAGACACTTCATCAACGTGCTGCAAGACATTCGGGTGGGCAGGTACGTAGATAATGCAAGATGCAGCTATGTCAAAGTGCCTGTGGATCAGTCAGACATTGTGACCACCCAGTACTCATTATTTAAGAAATAAACGAGTGGGAGTTGTTTATTGTACAATTAAACACACCTGGGTGAATAAACCACACAGGGCTGCACCTTTATGATTTATTCTATTATACATGTATAAGATAGCTATGCGATAAATCACAAAGAAAAATGAAGAACGAAACGTGGTTTATTTCACGATAAAACATTGTTGTATCATGACGTCATTTGTGGAGATTTGAATATGCACTCGCAACTTGATGACATCATATATTGAGCGACATTATTTTTGAGAGGGAAGTGTCCAGTGAATTGTTCCCCATAGATGAAGCTGGGCTATACAGATAATCGCATCCAAAAGTGGGAGAAATACCTGTGGGTATTTCCCACATATTCTTACAATCCTAACATCGATTACCTGTACCTTTTCTCCCAATACCGATTGTCATGCCTCTCCCACTTTTTGCCATTGCTTTTATCTGCGTTGCCCAGCTACATCTATGGGGCACCCGTGAAGTTCTGGGGTAGAAAAGGTCTTCAGCAACCCATGCTTGTCATAAAGAGGCGACTAACGGGATCGGGTGGTCAGACTCTTTGACTTGGTTGATGCATGTCATCAAACCCAATTGTGTGGATCGTTGCTCATGATGTCATCCACTGGATTGTCTGGTCCAGACTCGATTATTTACAGACTGCCGTCATATAGCTGGAATATTGCTGAGTGCGGCGTTAAACAACAACAACAAAAACATCTATGGGGAACAACTCAATAGACACTTCCCTCTAAAAAATAACGTTGTCCAATTTACAACATTATCAAGATGCGAGCACATGGTCAAATCTCCAGAAATGACGTCATGATAGAGCAATGTTTTATCGTGAAATAAATCACACTTTTTTCTTCATTGCTCTTTGTGATTTATCACACAGCTTTCTTTTATATGGGCTTAAAGACGAGCCTGGAACCTGTGTTGTCCTGGAAGGGGGAAAACATCAGTACTCCATAATGTCTTTTAGAATTTAGACACTGTCCACTTTTCTGTATAATTGAGACGCTATAATCATGATAATGAGTCTTAAACTTCAACTGTCTACAATTCCAAAGTGAAGATTGTACAACAGTCAGTGCTATAAGCTTGATGAACTTTGCAGTGATTTTTATAGTTCAAGTTTTAACAGTTTCATTTGCCAAAGCTTTGAAATGTTACATGCTTTTCTTATATAACCCATGGCAGATGTTCAGATGATGTTCAGAACACCCTGAAGGCAACAGCCCGCCACAATATCCAGAAAGACGGTATCCTAGCAACCAGACTGTGTACACACAAGGAGGATGTGGAACAGCTCAACAACCATCACCTGCAGAAACTGACTGGTAGGGACACACCAGACAAATTAGCACTAGTCCTGTAGTCCTTGCCAAAGTGCCCAATAGTTAAGGTATCTATGGACTAGTGGAAATTTGCCATTTTTAAGGGTTTTGCTAAGGACTAGTGGACTACGAATGTTGGTTTCTATCACTGTTTTGGGAGTTGTCGAGTGATAGTGAGTCCAGGTACAATGAGTTTGTGTATGTACTACATGGCATGGTGGGACAATTGTGAAATATATGGTTATTGATTTCAGGTGAAAGTCGTATGTTTCACGCAACAGACACAGATCCTGTGTACAACAAGCAGATCAACAACCTGTGTCCGGTGCCAGACAAACTGCTGCTGAAACTTGGGGCACAGGTGAGTCGTGGTCTCAGTGTTTGTTATATAGCACCATGAACCATTGAAGCTGTGTCCACTAGCCCATGCATGTTTCTCTGGTGATTCCAGGACAGAATAGTTCCCAGTATCCCATGCATGTCTCTCTGGTGATTCCAGGACAGAATAGTTCCCAGTATCCCATGCATGTCTCTCTGGTGATTCCAGGACAGAATAGTTCCCAGTATCCCATGCGTGTCTCTCTGGTGATTCCAGGACAGAATAGTTCCCAGTATCCCATGCATGTCTCTCTGGTGATTCCAGGACAGAATAGTACCCAGTATCCCATGCATGTCTCTCTGGTGATTCCAGGACAGAATAGTTCCCAGTATCCCATGCATGTCTCTCTGGAGATTCCAGGACAGAATAGTTCCCAGTATCCCATGCATGTCTCTCTGGTGATTCCAGGACAGAATAGTACCCACTATCCCATGCATGTCTCTCTGGTGATTCCAGGACAGAATAGTTCCCAGTATCCCATGAGTGTCTCTCTGGTGATTCCAGGACAGAATAGTTCCCAGTATCCCATGCATGTCTCTCTGGTGATTCCAGGACAGAATAGTTCCCAGTATCCCATGCATGTCTCTCTGGTGATTCCAGGACAGAATAGTTCCCAGTATCCCATGCATGTCTCTCTGGTGATTCCAGGACAGAATAGTACCCACTATCCCATGCATGTCTCTCTGGTGATTCCAGGACAGAATAGTACCCAGTATCCCATGCATGTCTCTCTGGTGATTCCAGGACAGAATAGTACCCAGTATCCCATGCATGTCTCTCTGGTGATTCCAGGACAGAATAGTTCCCAGTATCCCATGCATGTCTCTCTGGTGATTCCAGGACAGAATAGTTCCCAGTATCCCATGCATGTCTCTCTGGTGATTCCAGGACAGAATAGTTCCCAGTATCCCATACATGTCTCTCTGGTGATTCCAGGACAGAATAGTTCCCAGTATCCCATGCATGTCTCTCTGGTGATTCCAGGACAGAATAGTTCCCAGTATCCCATGCATGTCTCTCTGGTGATTCCAGGACAGAATAGTTCTCAGTATCCCATGAATGTCTCTTCAGGAATTCACGTTTCTCTCCCTTTGGAGATTCTGTTACAGTCCCCAGGTGACCATTAATCAACCACAAACTCCCTTATGGGCAGGTTCCGGAGATACAGCGAAAAGATTTGCCCAGAAAATACTCTCACTGTCACCCACCCTTCCATCCACTCACTACCATTTGCATTATTATTTTAAGTAATTACTTAAACATTATCATGTTACAATCAGCACTGACAGTCACTGTCGCTATGGTTACAGGTGATGCTGGCAAAGAACATGGACGTGCAGAGAGGGTTGGTGAACGGAGCTCGTGGAGTCATCACAGGCTTTGAAAACACTAGTGATGGTGTGTTGAATGCTGTTTTCAATTCTGCTTGACATGAAAGATCTCGGTTTGATTTCATGTTAGGACTGTCTTTTGTGTCCAGTGTTATTCAGACATAACCATATGTGTGCCATATTACATCCGCTTTTCTGTATCAAGTGGCATCACTTCAAATTGTGTTTGTTGCACTTGTTCAGCCCAGACCAATGTACTACAGATTTCGGATTTGTTTTAGGATTCATAAATTTAAACTTCAATCTTAATTTCAATGTCTACCCAAGACTTAAATAAGCTTCTTGCCAAACAATAGGATCATTTGTTAACCTTGGTTAGGATCATTGGTTAGGATCATTGGTTAACCTTGGTTAGGATCATTGGTTAGGATCATTGGTTAACCTCAGTTAGGATCATTTGTTAACCTTGGTTAGGATCATTGGTTAACCTTTGTTAGGATCATTGGTTAACCTTGGTTAGGATCATGGGTTAACCTTGGTTTAGGTCATTGGTTAACCTTGGTTAGGATCATTGGTTAACCTTGGTTAGGATAATTGGTTAACCTTGGTTTGGGTCATTGGTTAACCTTGGTTAGGATCATTGGTTAACCTTGGTTTGGGTCATTGGTTAACCTTGGTTAGGATCATTGGTTAACCTTGGTTTGGATCATTGGTTAACCTTGGTTTAGGTCATTGGTTAACCTTGGTTAGGATCATTGGTTAACCTTGGTTTAGGTCATTGGTTAACCTTGGTTAGGATCATTGGTTAACCTTGGTTTGGGTCATTGGTTAACCTTGGTTAGGATCATTGGTTAGTCTTGGTTAATTTCATTATTTAGTCTTGGTTAGGATCATTGGTAAACTGTGGTTAAGATCATCTACCGTATTTCGGAGAGTCCAAGTGGAAGGTTAATGTGCCTTCCAGGTGTCATGGTTTACTGAAACAACTGTGTTTTTGCAGGATTCCCGCGTGTGAAGTTCGCCTGCGGCCTAGAGGAAGTGATCAAGCCCGTGCGCTGGGCCATGAAGGTTGGCAGTGGGGTGTGTCTCATGCGCAAACAGGTGCCCCTCAAGCTGGCCTGGGCCATCTCCATACACAAGAGTCAGGTCAGTGGCGCCTACAGTTGGTGACCAGTGTTGCTGTTAGGGAGGTAGCCTAGTTGTTAGAGCAGTCACTTGTCAAGGCAAAGGCTTGGGTTCGATTCCCCTCCTGGGTGTGATGTCTGAAGCTCATGCCATGGCTGAAATAGTGCCTTGGAAAACGTGGTGTAAATCAAATTCCTCATGCTCATTCACTACTTGAATCAAAGATCTGCCAACCAACTATTTGACACATTAGCTTAAAAAGTCCTTTATCCCTTCTTCCTATATCTATTGAAATATTTCAATAATAGAATAAATACCAAAGTAGCTCAATTTTGGAAGGCAAGGGAAGTAATTAAAAACTTAATTCATAAATTGTCTTCTACTTCATTGCTTTTGTTGACCGACGATATCATTGTATGTTTACTGTTAAAGGACGTTTCTTTATTTGTTCTAATTTCCGCGATGGAAGAAGATATCAAGTTTTATAACACTACCAGTATTTGTTGGTGCAGACATTTTATCGTCATTTTTCATCAATGCATCATTGTACAGCTCACGCGACTTTTCAATGCACTTCTGATGAATTTCCAAATCTAAATGCCTTGGAACTACACCACTGAGATGAGGTCTGCCAGTGTAGTGTGTATGAATATGATACAGTTAGTGTGTAGTGTTTCTCATGTGTCTGTCTGTGCAGGGCATGACGCTGGACTGTGTGGAGATCTCGCTGGCCCGGGTGTTCGAGGCAGGCCAGGCGTACGTAGCGTTGTCCCGGGCCAAGAGCCTGGAGGGCCTGCGAGTGCTGGACTTTGAACGCAGCTGTGTGCGGGCCAACACAGAGGTGCTGCGCTTCTACCACAAGCTGCAGCTGTCACAGAAGATGCTGCAGACAGGCATGGGGGACTATGTTGCTGCAGATGCCCCCCTCCCACCCAGTCACTGGTAGAGAGGGGCAGTATTGATACTTAGGCCAGTAGTTCAAAATTCAGAAGTCGGAGGAAATTATTATTTTTAAAATTACATAAGCTTCAACTTTGGTACCTTTTTTTCTGTACGACAGTATCTCTATGAAGAAGGTGCTTAATTTTGTCAAAGTCTGTATCAAGAACAAGGGTCCTAGATATATTATGCAAGGAATCAGCAACAATCTTGACTTGACAAAAACACAGTATTTGCCTAACATTTTTGCTGTATTGACCTGTGAGGAAAAGTAAGTTTTGATATTTTTTTTAATATTCTGTGATCCTACAAATAAAACATACTGACCTCATTCTTGTCGCAAGGGATGAAGCAAGAGATTACAGGAATGTCCAGTTGACTATTAATATGTCTTCAGACACTATTTAACACTAGTGGTCAAAAATATCAAATGAATAAGCTACAGTATCTAAGATTTACATTGATGTTTACAAATCTTCGTTTGACGATTGTACAATCTTATTAAGCAATCTCTGTTCAGTGACAGCGAGAACTAAGATCTGATTTTAATTAGATTGAAACTTGAACATTCCTTGGGATGCAAGGATCATGGATCATTCAACACTTTTATGATAACTGTCCTTTTAGCTTTGTTCCCACACAGAACTGTTGAATGTAGTGTCACACTCACTCACTCATTCACTTTTAATAAGGCTAAACTAAGTCATGTTTCACTTGGGTTGAACTGTAGGATCAGAACACTCCCACTGTTATGTTGGATTCCTGCTGGGTAATAGGAAATAAGGTAGCATTGAGGTTACGGCAGCAGGGAAAACACTTCAGTCTTTCACATGCTACAAATGCTTGGTGTCAATATGATCTTAACCTGTGTATTTATTCTTGTGATGTCCTTGTACTGTGTATAATCTGTATTAAACAAAATATTTGTGGGAATAGACTTCTTAAAAATATCACATCAGAAACAATGTTTCACTTTGTTGTAAAATTAGTCTCCATTGAAAAGTTAAATATTGGTAGTTCTACATGGATAGTAAAATATTGGTAGTTTTACACGAATAGTAAAATATTGGTAGTTCTACATGAATAGTAACATATTGGTAGTTCTACATGAATAGTAACATATTGGTAGTTTTACATGAATAGTAACATATTGGTAGTTCTACATGAATAGTAAAATATTGGTAGTTCTACATGAATAGTAACATATTGGTAGTTCTACATGAATAGTAAAATATTGGTATTCTTACATGAATTGTAACATATTGGTAGTTTTACACGAATAGTAACATATTGGTAGTTTTACACGAATAGTAACATATTGGTAGTTTTACATGGATGATATAATGATGGTAGTTTTGCTCAGGAGGGCCTCCATGATGGTGTTAATGTGTGTTTCCCAGGGTGTCTACAGTATTAAATATCAGTTTGTATATACACTTCTTAATGTTATTAACTCAAGGATTGTATTGTTGTTTATATATGTATGTTTTATATGTACACCAACTCTTGTTTGTTTATGGAATGAAAATAAATATGTTGTGTCACTAGGCCTAGCTATTTCCTCTATCAATCAACAGATGTGCATCGAATGGTTACTATGTTACCGGTACTACATTTTTTATAGGGGCATTTTTTATCTTTCTTATATATATATGTAAGATGTCAATGGTGATAATCATGCAATTTGTCTACTGACTGGTGCACTCAGGCAATGTGCATATTGCCTGGAAAATGAGACTGGATTTTAGACAGATTGAATGAAATGAATTAAGACTCCTTAATTTAAACTTCTCATTTTAACTTGGATCTATTTTGATGTTATGATGAGATGGCCTGGAGATCCTAAGTCCGTGGACAGGTTGGGTTTGACAACTACTCCATTTGTTGTGGTTCGTTTACCCTTCCAGTGACACTCTAAGTGATTTCTACTTTTCTACTCCCTCACTTGTGATATTAGCATATTTTGTCAATGCTTTCAACATTTTGTCACGACCACCATGACAAGTTGAAATGTGACCTATCTCAAAGATATCCTCGATATGGGTTCTTGAGCTCTGTCATTGCATTTACAAATGAACTTTTCAATATGACCACACTCAAGTATTTTATACCAACCCAGTCCAAGGATGTGATACTGTTGAGGGGACTTAGTATTAGGAAAACATGATTCTTTGAGTTACTCAAGTAGCGAAAAATATTGTTCATGGTCAATAATAAGGACTTGTTAACAGACTCTTTCTTCTCAACAACTGTTCATGAAAAGCCGCTTCCAGTGAAGTTGTCATTGCAGGAGTTGATAGAGCAAAGTTTATAGTATTACAGTCCACTTTATCTTTAACGTCCCCGTCACCTATTGTTTTGATATGTAACCATTATAATTATCTAGCTTCTAATCAGGGTATTTTCTGAGATGAGGAGACTGCTTCAGGTCCCTGCTCCCTATTATTTGACTAATTAACTACAGGGCGTCTGATCTGTTTTCTTCTTATTTATTAAAAGAACAAAAACAAATAGTGATGTATTGACATGTGTTAACATCAGACATCTTTCCGGGGGCAGAGACTGTTACACAATTTTAAGAATTTGCTTCAGGTAAGGGGAGATAATCGTATTCAATTGGATGTATGTTATGGAAACAGATTATGTCAAATTATTCAGTCACCTCAGGCTTGGCTGCGGCGAACAAAGATCAATGTGATAGATATATTTTGGATACAAAGATTTGTTCCTGTGGATATCATACCGAAGATTCTTTACATTTCTCTTTTGTGTGTACACATTACTATGTTCTTCGAAATGAAATGTATTTTTACCAAAATGGTTATTCTGTACAAACAGTGCTATGCGGAAATTCGTATTTGAGTAAGGAAGAGCAAATCCAAACATTAGATTTTATTCAAAACATCATATTAAAAACTGGCAGATGTTTAATTAAATGAATTGTTTAACATAAACTGCAAATAAATTTATCATATAACTTCTGATTTGAATTTTGACTGGCCTAACTAGTCTATGCAGTATGCATTGTCCAATCAAAATTGCGTCACGAAATTGACATCCGGTTCGTAAACAACATGGCAACTGCCGTCAAATTTCAGTCGATTGCAGGATTCGCAAAGCATGGGTGCCATCAACTGGGCGTCGACGGATACTTTCCAAATCTTTTCGTGCAAGATGGAATCTGATTGGTCAACAGGTGTGACAAAGGTGGGAAATAGCTCGCAATAGAAATTGATGGTGCTACAATTGAGCCACGAAATCCAGTCTAGTTTGACTGTTATAGTCAGCTTACTCCTTTGCATGGTGAGGATATGCTTCCAGTCTATTGTGTAAACTGCATACTTTAATCATCATAAGATCAAAACAGATCTAACTATAAATGAGTCTAATTCATATCAGTCTGTCAAAAATCCAGTCTCATTTTTCAGGCTCTATTGACTGAAAATGTTAGCTGGAATATTGCTGAGAGTGAGAAAACCTTACTCACTTATTGCTTGTTGTTTAAGGCTGCGGTCAGCAATATTCCAGCTATATGATGCCGGCCTGTAAATAATCATGTCTAGATCAGACAATCCAGTGATTGACATCAGCATCGATCCACCTTATATGCGATACGATGACACGCAGCCAACCAAGTCACCGAGCCTGACCACCTGATCCATTTAGTGGCCTCAGATAAGCGTAGATTGCGGGGGACCTATGTTCTTACTCAATCAGACACTTGTCTAGTTCCAGATCAGTGTCAGATATGGCACGATATTTTGAGTTAAGATATGTCAAACCCTCAATTGAATGAACTTCAAACTTCTCAGAGCAGCAAATCTCATTTCTGTATATAAAAAGGAGCGTAAAAAGGCAGTTCCGACGGGGCAGTCATTCTGACCGCACTGTGCCATGGATCGTTTACACTGTCTTATCTGAGCGCCATGGAATCCACAAAAGGAATAATTGTATAAAAAATGCATGTGAGATCGAAAACTCCGAATCAGGAACCGAGATGGTGAAGAATTGAAGCCAAATGAGTTCGAAAACACCCGGTTGATTTAAAACCCAATTGTTTCCCCCGCTTTGATTGGGTGGTAAAAGTTTGCCCGGAGTTCTCATGGTGTGACCTGGATGCAGAGGTTTCGTACCAGAGCAAATGATATGATATTAATTAGCTGTACATCATCATCAGCACATATTAAACTGTAGAGCTGTCACGAAATACAACAAAAAAGCTTGAATGAACTCGATTTCAAGTAATTTAATTAAATTCTGAATTTATTTCTCGTCAAAGGGGATATATTTCTCCAAAGACGACAGTAACAAGTATCCGATAGCGCAGTGCACAGATCATAAGGTTACTCACCCATGTGTGTGCTGGCATAATAGAGTCTGCTACAATGGTCAACAAGAAGGAACGGCACAATCAAAGGGCAATATTTACACGTACATTTATTTAATATCGCAAAAACTGTGACCTAATACTGACATGTGTCGGGTATCAAACACGATGGCATTCCCGGCCCTTGTATTAGTTTAAAATAGACTCTGTAGAATCTGTCTCAACCTATCAAAGCTGTTTCCCCGAGAAAGCACCCGGGAACCAGTCGTCATGACCATAGGTTCAATTGCAGCAAGTGACCCATTCGCTCACGGACAACTCGACATACTGCCTCGTGCAACCCTGACCTTGCATCTTTACGTGCATGTCATACACAAATGAAATGTCTCTAAAATCAATGAAACAAGAATGTACAATAAGACCATAAATAAATACCAAATGATGAGTAAATGCACGCACAAATACATGGAGGAAGCATATCTGGCCATGCATGTGTCGAGGTTATCGTTGAACAGCCAGGGAAGAGTTCACTGTGTACGGGGTGGCATAGGAGGTTGATGCAACAAGAGTAACATCTGTTCAGACCATCAATGCATCACCTATAGACCTTACTGTCTTCAAATCCATGGACCAGCAGGATATCCGATATTCAAGATCAGGTACAGAGAAGTCCTACAGGTTAAGGTAGAATAAGACCACACCAACATACAACCTAAAGCTATGCTACCCTAAGAATGTTATCAGAACGCTGTACCCCAAGTTGTAACTGATTCTGGCGCACAAATATAGCCATAGCAACGCAGTTGAGTTAGGTCATGGTCCTCGCTTGTTACAAGTTTTTGAATGTTGGTATGTCAACACCAAGTAATATGGTTCAACGAGAATGCGGGACATTCCCATTGTACATTATATCTTACACTCGTTGCATGAAGTATTGGTGTAAAATAAAAAATGCCTGAACACCGTTTACCTAAGAAAGCCTACAAAATGCTTGCACACCTCGATAGTCTTGGAAAGAACACATTGGCTTCTTGTACACGTACATTGCCTTTTACATATGTCTTTGGTTTCATTTGGCTGTCATTACTTGAATCTTATTAATCAACTTACGGTACAGGAATTTTCCTTTAAACTTGGCCTGAATGATCTAAAACACAGGGAGATTTCCATCTGTTGAGAAATCCCTAAGGTTATGCTCATTTTGTGACAGTGTTGTCGAAGATGAGTACCATTTAATGTTTATTTGCCCTGTATACGAAAATCTAAGAAACAAGTACTTGCCGCAGTGGTCTTCATCTCATGTTAATGCTATAACATTGTCTTCATTACTGTCCTGCAAGGATCTTCTAACACAACATCAACTGGCTTTGCACATACATCGGGCGTTTTTGTTACGAAGTGAATTGTTACCTTGACTTTGTATCTTATAAATCCGTTGTGTATGGGCCTGTGGCCTTTCAAACAATAAAGAGTAGAATTGAAAAATATATATTGTGTCAGTCTTCAAACACTTTATACTGCACATCCTGGTACGCTTATATCTATGGATAGCTGGTAAGAAACAAAACGTGGTCGGTGAAATAATACACCCCTCTGTGTATTTTGATATAACCATCCTAGGGGTATGTTAGTTTACCGCCATGTCTCTTCCAAGCTATTCGAACCCCGTGGGGATTAGCTTGGACTATGTTCAGTTGATGTGATCAAACTTCGCGTTCAAAGAGGATATCGTCGTCGATAATGGAGGACGAGTCGTCATTCGTCGGGAAGTCCAGGGATATCCCCGAGAGGTCCAGGCCTTGAGGCTTCTTCTTCTGTATCCGTCTGACGATGGTAGATGGCCGCCATTTTTCGGGTACGCTGACCTTGCCCTTGCACCTGTCACTGAACCACCTCGCTATTCGTTTCCGCATGGCTTTGATTGACAACAGGAACAGCAGACAGTTGGCCAGCCCGATCGAGTTGTCGCCTATGGCCTGGGTGTAGGGTGATAAAGGCATATATTTAAATATATGGAAATACACGCTATCACTGAGTTCCTGTGTTTTCAGTGCCAGGAGGTGGGATAGCCTAGTGGTTAAAGGTTCCCCCATGGGTATATGAAGCCCATGTGTTAAGCCCATGCAGTGAATTTGTTGAAATATTGCTCAAAGCGGGATAAAACCTTACGTTACTCACTCAAAGACTCTCAGTGTCAGGTCAAAGCGTTGTCGGGACTCGGGCTCTAATAATTGTTTTAAATATTGCTTGACCGATCGGTTACTGTCTGGCGAACGGAGTCTGTATAAGCTGGTTTATGACCCTACCAAAATGCTGTAAACTACGTTTATAACAAACTGTTTATCCCGTCCATTTGCTGTTTATATGCTTATAACAAACCACGGTTATAACGAACTAAAATGAGTGGTCCCTGTTACTGTATGTGTATTATTTTGGGGACTCTCCCGTGATTCCCACTGACCCACCCTTCCCAACAATACATGACCGGCCTCTAATGTATCTGAGAGGGATGTCCATGTTAAAATACGGCTTGCTATCTCCGTGGATTAGCACTAAAAACCCGCTATAAGTCCGGACTTCAGTCACACACACAGTCACGCACGCACGCACACACACGCGCGCACACACACACATTCGTGAATGTACGTTGCTATATAAGTGCAGTAGTCTTGAACGCGACGTCAAACCCCATTTCAGTTCACCTTGACTGATCGAGACAATAAAACGTGTTATGTCAGACGAGTAAAGTTGGTTCTGTGTGGGGTTCTTTTGAACGAATCGAAATTTCCGAATCAAGGGGGTACAAACATGAAGACGAATCGTTGTAGAAAGCTGACAGATGACTGATTCGCCGAAGAACCCGACCCGCTGTCTGTGACGCGACCTTCTATGGATGTGTTCTCAGATTGTTTTGTTTGTTTGTATTTAACGCCGCACTCAACAATATTCCAGCCCTATGACGGAAGTCTGTAAATAACAGAATTTGGACCAGACGACCCTGTGATTGACATCGTGAGCATCGATCCACGTAATTGGGATACCATGACATGCACTAACCAAGTCAGTGAGCCTGACCACCCGATCCCGTTAATCGTCTTAAGACAAGCATGGGTCGCTGAAGATCAATTCAAATCCGGGTCTTCATGGTTTTTTCTCAGATCACAACGCAGAGTGGTATCGTATCGATCAGAGCAAAAGATCTGATTTTAATGGGTTTGATCTGATCCTACTCCTTTATTGTCCAAGTACACACAAACGAAGTTAATAGCTACATGTATTCCCTCTGTACTTCGTGTGATAAAAGTAACTACATCTACACATTACTACAAAACATTCTTGCCTCACATGCGTTACAGTTACTGTACACACATGCTTTGAACAGTTTGTTTTTGTCCTCTCCTAACAATCATTTCTTTAAAAATTGGATGAAGACGTAATAATTTCTTTATTATTGGAGCAGTTTTCAGAAGCTGTTTTATTTCCAAAGAACCTTATGTTACAGTAAATATCCTGGAAACCGTTTCTCATCGCAGAGCACAATGACCAAGTAGTGTGACCACGTATCAGTCGCAGACGTAAAGCAGCTTTGTGGAACGGGCTCTCAGATACAGTTTACTTGGTTTGAGGTCAGCCAATCACATACTTTAGTATTTGTTGAGATATGATCTACCGACCAATCAGAAAGTTTATTTTGTTTCGACTACTACAGCACAGCTCACCTTCATAATAAGTAACGAATCACCAAACATGTCCCTTCCCTTGGCCGGACCGTACTGGACAAACAGGAAGTAGAATGTTCCCCAGATGCGCAGACATATGAAGATGAGGGGGATGTAACGGAGTTGTTTATTGGCTGTCTGAATCGCCATGTCCTCTATGACGTAGTTCCGGTCAATCTTTTTGACTGCCTAGTAATAAAAGGCAAACGGTTTGACAAGGCCAGTGTGAGTTAAAATACCAATCTGCACACCAATCACTTCCTTAATCACTGACATTAAATTACGTTTACAATATGTCATCGAAAGTGAATTGATACCAGATCTGAACAAAACGGTTGTGTTTTCCGCCTTCTTGTATTCAAAAACCCGTAACTGGAATAATAAGCCATCAGGTTTCTTGTCTATTTCCGAGTAAGCAATGTGCTTGGTTTGACCTAATCTAAGCTTTTGCATTCAGCATATTTCAGCTATATGACGACATCAGTAAATAAAGGATTCTGAGCCAGGTGAACGAGTGGCTGACAGCATCAGCAACGATCCAATCTGTTAGACACCTCGACACAAAACTACGCCATTGTATCTATGTATTTGATCCTCATTAGCCCTTTTTCACAAGCGTATGTGCTGGGGACCTGTTCTGCCCTAGAGTTCACTTCAAATAAATGGAGGAGGAGGCTGTTGATGAAAGTGTTTGTTTGTTTGTTTGTTTGTTTCGCACTCAGCATTCCAGCTATATGACGGCGGTCTGTAATTAATCGAGTCTGGACCAGACAATCCAGTGATTGACATCATAAGCATCGATCCACGCAATTGGGATACAATGACATGCATCAACCAAGTCAGCGAACCTGACCACCCGACCCCGTTAGTCGCCTCTTACGTCAAGTATAGTCGCCTTTTACGGCAAGCATGGGTTGCTGAAGACCTATTCTACCCCGAATCTTCACGGGTCTACCTTTAACGACAACGACGTTGATGACGTACCTGACACTTGACGCTGCACGAGATGACCGTATAGAGCAGGATAGACGCCAGGTAGGACGCGAGCATCCAGCCTTCGATAGTGACAAAGTACCAGTCCATCTTGTTGGAGACTCTGTCGCTGATCCAACATGGCGCTGGGCGACGGTGCTTACGCAGAAACGTGTCATCGTAACCGTACACGTCGGAGGCGCCGGCCGAGAAGGCAACGACGGCTGAAACAAAAGATGCCATAGCATCACGATGGCGGTTTGAGGGAATGGTTGGGGTGAACGCAACAAATTATATGCTGGTTTTCAAAGTGAAGCCACATCACGCCCGTCAAGCGGATAAGCGTAAGGGTTAAGACAGTCGTAATGTTAAAGGCAGTTTCTTTCAAGTCACGGCGGCACGTGCGTCCCTGTCCTCTAAGGCGCTGCAGTTCGTTGACAGCAACCTATCATTGTGGTTCGCCCCGATATTGCTTCTAGGTTTGTCAGCAAGATACCCGTGCTCGTGGAGATCTGCATCACTTCGGGCCTCCACTCACATTAAGCGTCGTGATGTAAATAGAATACTACTCAAAGCGGCGTTAAACTCAACTCACTCACTCTCAAGTCATTCCTCTTTGTCCGCTCACTAAAATGTTATACCAGACAACACAACGTCTAAACCTACACTGAACATGGACAACAGACCGTGGAGCATCGCCCCTCATCAAGATGGACTCGTGTCACTTTAAATCCTGCGCAAGTTATTTTAATGGCAATAAAAACATACTTTTCAAATTCCATGCGGTAAATGAAATCGACTCTTGAATACATTGTCAGTTATCAAGCAATGTTTCCGAGGCAAGGGTGTTAACTGATTATAATTATATTCGACAAGGGTGGCAACTGGACTAGACAGTTAACTCCCTTGCCTCGGAAACATTGCTTGATAACTGACATTGTATTCAAGAGTCGATTTCAATGTGTGCCAGGTGTGTATATGTGGATATTCTTGGTGGTGATTATTTTTTAACTCAGTTTCATCATGGCCAATTATCACAACCCGACTGAGTTAAGTTCACAAGCAAATATTTAATTATCGTTAACACTACTAACAGGTCAGTGATGTTAGGTCAGTTCAAGTACCGAAATGAAGCACGATGTGCCATTCTCGACTATCTTGTATATTACATCGCCATGCTACTTGATAAATACCCTGGACCCGTTCGCCACCATAACTTCGTTTCGGAAGTAACCACCACCAGTAATTTAGCACTGGATTTCTCGAGCTTATGACAGCGACTTATTTGGACAGCCACTTTAGCGTCGTGACAACAAAAGAGGATTTCTTTGTCTTCTTATTTTCTGTTGACAAATGTTATCGCGATTTCAACGATTTCGATAAAAGTATCGGAAAGTTACATCTTGGTCACGTGACATTTCCCCTCGGAAATAATTAATAAAATTTAAAACAATAATAATCGCTTTTCAGCCTTGTTTACCTCAAACTAAAATAGTAATTCCGAAATAAGGGAGCAGAAATATCAATAAACATCATGATGAATGCTGCGTTTTAAAGGGGTTGCAGTATACACTTTATTTATTTGTTTGTTTTTTTAACGCCGCACTCAGAAATATTCCAGCTATATGACGGCGGTCTGTAAATATTCGAATCAGGACAAGATAACTGAGTGATTGACAGCATGAACATCGATCTTCGCAATTGGTTACGATGACATGCATAAACCAAGCCTGACCACCCGATCCTGTTGGTCGCCTCTTATGACAAGCATAGTCGCCTCTTACGACAAGCATGGGTTGCTGAAGATCTAACCCAGATCTTCAAGGGTCGTATACACTTTGGACAAACAGATTTGGTCACTTTCATAATTTCTAACATCATACTCTTGTTTCAAATGTATAATCATAATAACAAGGAAATGTATTTGTCATACCAAGTACCTGGCATAACCCATGAAAAGATATGGAACAGCCACGTCACCCTATTGGCCACCACGATGAAGCGTAACGTCACACAGAGGAACAGATAGAAGCCGATGGCGTCCGTCCACAGACACGTCGCCGTGTTCGAGTACACTGTGAACAACGCTGCTGTCTCACACAACACACTACGTTCCTGCGGCACCCGCTCCGTGCTCTTGTAGAACGTCGCCGCTTGCAGCAATGCCCCTACACACATGATGAAGTTTGCGATGCTGAGGGAGACGAAAAGTTTGCGACCAGTTGTTCTGATGTCGTTGTACAAATAGTAGCACCCGATGATGACGAGGTTGCCGACAATGGACATGACGGACAGGCCGTTGGTTATGATGACGTAAGCGGCGTCGACTGAGGTGAAGGTCGCGTTGGGGCTCGGACTGACCGGAGCCTCGGTCTGGGTTTCGTGAACCATGGTCTCTCGGTGTTGAGTTGATCACAGTGCTGAAATCACAAGTTCTACATGTATTATATTGTGGTGCAATAGTGTCCATGTTTTGTACATACAAATATATGATTATTTGCGCTACGACGATCGTAACTCTCACACATCAGAATAGACGTATGACAGTCGTTGCGCTAAGGTCGCGTTGAGCAACTGGGACCTGAATTAGCAACACATAAGAGCGGGTGTGATTTAACGTTGCTTGTAGTAATATTCCATCAAGTAAAAAACTCGTTCACCCTCGATTATCCAGTGTATTGTGTTTCCTTTCTACTACTTTGAAAAGTCTGAAACCTACAGGAAATGACGCTAAATACAGTCACCCAAATAGATGGAGCGAAGCCTTGTGCTACGTTCGTAATAAGAGAGTTTGAGATGGTGACGTCAATTCAGAAACGAAGCTTTGACGGTGAATGGACCCAGGGTATGTATCATAATAGGATGGAGACATGATGAACTGGATAATTGGGGGACACCAAGACCTTGTTTCCATCCATAAGGGGAATCCAACCCGTCTTCGACGTAACGAGCGAACACACCAACAACAAGACAACAAGACAAAACATTGAAATCGTGTCCATACGGCGTTAGGAGACCGGCCGTTTAGGGAAGTGTTTGTTTCTGTGTTTTTTACCGCCGTACTTGGCAATATTCCAGCAATATGATGGCGGTTTGTAAGTAATTGAGTCTGAACCAGACAATCCAGTGATTGATATGAGCATCGATCCATGCAGCTGGGACACGATGACATGCATCAACCAAGTCAGCGAGCCTGACCATCCGATCCCGTTAGTCGCCTCTTACGACAAGCATAGTCGCCTCTTACAGCAAGCATGGGTTGCTGAAGACCTTTTCTTCCCCGGATCTTCACGGGTGAGAGTGTTGTTCGCCGTAGTATGTTCCAGATATGTACTAGTACATCACGGCGGTCTGTAAATAATTGTGTATTGGACAGACAAGGTGAGGTGAAATTGGGTTTCACAGATGATTGAGCTAATACAGCGACGTGCATGAACGTGTGTGTGTGTGGCTGCTTGCACTTTTCCAGACTCACGCCAGGGTCATAGACGGGTCTGTCAAAACACGCCGGGCTCCAAGAGTTTTAAAACAATGTTTCAAGAGAAGTGAAAAATTACCAGTAAAAACCTGCAGTCATCCTCTTTATCTCCATGGCTGGCATGTCGGTTAACCTAAGCTAACCCTGGATCGATTCCCGCTGTTCTCTTGATCTTAAGCATGATACGAACTTAGAGGTTACTAAAACATGACATACAGTTTGAAGTATGACATTGTTGGGGTTTTTTCGTCCCAATTGTTATATATAACGTTGAACATAGGTATATAATTTCCCCACTTTGCCAGATGCCCGTGTGGCTCTACACAGCGATTTGCCCGTAATTAAATATAGACATGATTTCACTCGCTTCTGTGTGTATTAATAATATCTGATCCACCATGACCTCACTGACGGTGGCATATCTCCACCGAGAGTCAATTAACCCTGTTGTACTCTGACAATATGTAGTACCATACACTATCTCAGCTTAAGCTGTTCACAGATAAGATTTTCACATAGTGAACCTTATTTATATTTTCAATGTAAAGATGTATACATATGGCAGAATGGCAATGGATAGCGAGTGAGTGGATATCGTTCTACATCACTGGGGAATATTATGATCGAGTCTGAACCAGCCAAACCTGTGGTGAACAACCATCTACTTTTTGGTGCTGGGAAACTATTGGAGGACGAAGGAGGCATCAGTAATCGGTTCTTATTGTGTATAGTATTCAACATTTGTTATCACTGCCACCCAATAGGGTACTAAGTGCCCTTGGCAGGGAAATTGGGGGAAATCGCTATTTTGTTATTGTAAAGTTCTTATTTTCCTAATTTCAAAGGTATTTTCACATAACATGAGCAAGTCTAGATAAATCCCAAGCAAGGAAGCAGTCATAACCCTGAACTTGGTCGTAAAAGGCGCATTTTGTTATTCATATTTAAGCACCACTTAGAATCTCGAATACGAGGCGGCAGGAGTAAAAAGTTTTGTCCTCTTTTATCCCCGAAGAGCATGCATACAAAATAAATCTGACTCAAGAATATAAAAACTCACCACCCTTTTCAAAAACAATAAACTTATATATGTATATGACTCCAATTCGATACCTTATAATCTAATTTATTTGACATCATTTTAAAACTCGTTTTCCACCAATTTAATACCATGAACAACATTCTAACATATTTTGGGTTTGTTATGAAATGTGGATTTGTGATAAGAATCGGATTGAGAATCGAAATAATAATGTAAACAGATTTGGCAAGACTTTTAATCCAGGCGGTATGACGAAACAATAGTTTTGCAAACGACGCAATAGAAAATACAATGTAACTCGTTTACCCGGACAGTTTTCATCCCGTCTTATGGATTATAGATTTCCACACCAATACATCGAGGTCTTAGTGAAGAGAGAAATTCCTCACACGTAGGATTGTACAGCGGTCTGGGTTAATGAGAGTATACATAACACTGGAATACTTGTATCTGATCATGCTGTAAGGTACTGTGTAGGTTATAAATAGAGCCGGACAGTGCGGATGGATTTCCTACCTTAGTTTCTTGTACTTTTCATCCAAGCATGTTCATGTCACTTTCAGCAGCTATCACGGAGCATGTCGATTTCATCCTTAATTTGTGGGATCTGATGCCAATGAGCTGATCTCTGAATATACGCGTTTATGTCATCACAATGACGGCTTTGACCTTTCACCTCCACGTCGACTCCCTCTGCAGCAGATAACGTCGATATAGGTTGTTCATAGCATGTTGATATCATCCTATTCGCACTTACCGATGGGGCGTTATCTTGTATATTGCATGTCGATAACAGGGGTGAACGTACATGCGCGACAGTACTGTTATGATCCTTCATTCCAGTGAGAGGTTACCTTGACTTTACAAGAATAAACGGCTAAAATACCTCAAAGATATGAAATAAGCATCATGTTGATACTGTATAAGATATTTTACAAAGTCCCTTCCCAACTGACTGCGCAGAGTTGCGTCCCTTTAGTCATGCCAGGATCTGCTGATTGTGCGATCGAATCCCGCATCCTCCCGATTATGACCCTTGGTCTGTCAGCACCATTTAGTTATCATCCTGGATATTTAAATCGATAAACAGAGCTCTCGAAATAATAAAATAGAAATTGCGTTTTTTCTCCTCACGCAGAAATGAAGAACTTGCCGGTGGGTTTTACAAAAGGTGTGGATATTTTGCCTGGGGATTATATATTTTTTCAGCTGCAGCTGCAAAAACAGATTGATTTTTTTCATTAAAACTATGCGCAGAATCATTTATTTTTTTTAAAGAAGAACACCTTGCAACAATGTAATTTTTTGCCAGAGAATATCCTTTTTATTGAACAGTATGAAGCATATTTTTTTCAAGAATATAAGAGGACAACATATCTATTTCGATGAAATCCCAGCCCCGTGAGATGCGGTTTTTATTTCAACGTAGGTAACGAGCGAAAGCGAAATGCACGAGTTGCAATAAACTGCCGGGCAAACGAAAGTAGACACCCATGTTTAATGGTGGTTTGAAATGAACAAACAAGACATGGTTATTCAGTGGTGATGTATTTGATACGGGCATCACATATGTATTTTGGGACCATACGTTTGCAGTGTCTCGGCGACGGTTTTCCTCCTAGTAATGTTTTGGTGACGCTTGTACCTCGGGGGTCGTATCCAGTTTGTTTACTCTCTTTTGTCCAGAAGTTGTGTTGTAACAGTATCTACGTTGGACAAAGAGAGTCACGGGTAGCAAGTTGGCGTATGAATACAGCATTCGAAGCTGATGATTCCACCATAGACATTATTCAATGCGCGACCAATAAAGTGCAAACTCCCTCCGAGATCGAGTATAAGAAAAGATGAGATGCAGATTCTAATTTCGCTCTTTAGATACCTTTTGAAAAACATCTGTATTAAAAATAACAGAAGGAAACGGGGACCTCGTCGTTCTTTGAACCGCGCATAAAATATAACATACAATTAGCGAAGCGTTCGTACAATTTTTCCAAAGGTTCATATGTTTATTTCACAATTCACTATCAGTATTGTTGGAAAACATGCTGCCAATAAAACTACATTGTAACTCTTCACAGGTACCACGCAGAATGATCACCAGGAGCATTAGTTATGTTTGTTTGTTGTTTAACGCCGCAATCAGCAATAGTCCAGCTATATGGCGGCGGTCTGTAAATAATCGAGTCTGGACCAGACAATCCAGTGATTGACATTATGAGCATCGATCCACACAATTGGGATACGATGACATGCATCAACCAAGTTAGCGAGCCTGAAGACCCGATCCCATTAGTCGCCTCTTACGACAAGCATAGTCACTTGTTACGGCAAACATGGGTTGCTGAGGACCTATTCTACCCTGGATCTTCACGGGCCCAAGAATATTAGTCGTACCATCAGCAGTTGTCATAGTTAGGTCTTACATTATTACACTTATAGAATTACGTTTCAGTTTCTTGGGGTTTTTAAAAGGAGGCCTGAAGCGAAGTTTATGAAACCAACGAGATGGAATCTGGGATCCGAATCAATGACCAGCGGATTCTAGCAGGGGAAGGAGATGGAGGAGAAATTATAGCCCTGGGCCACCCGTACGTCCTTCGTTCTGGTATAGTGGGTGGACGTTGACACCCGCCCAGCCAGCTGACAAATTACCACCTGATCCTCATTGATCATCTTTTACTACAAGCAGGGGATACCGGAGAGCTTGTCTACTACTACGCCAGCGCTTTCGCAGTTGTAGTAGTAATTTTAGTTGTAGCAGTCGTATTAGTAGTGGTTGTAGTATCAGTCGAAGTAGTAGTTATTTTAGTTGTAGCAGTCCTAGTAGTAGTAGTAGTAGTAGTAGTAGTAGTAGCAGCAGTAGTTGAAGTAGTATCTCTAGTAGTAGTAGTAGTAGTAGCAGCAGCAGTAGTTGAAGTAGTATCTCTAGTAGTAGTAGTAGTAGTAGTAGTAGTAGTAGTGATGTCAACGTAGAGTTGAGTTTGTCTTATTGACCTAAACGCGCCTACACGCAGCTACAAAAGCTCTCTCAAACAACAACGATATCAACACATACACACAGCTACAAACGCTCTCTCAAACAACAACGATAACAACTCATACACACAGCTACAAACGCTCTCTCAAACAACAACGATATCAACTCATACACACAGCTACAAACGCTCTCTCAAACAACAACGATATCAACACATACACACAGATACAAACGCTCTCTCAAACAACAACGATATCAACACATACACACAGCTACAAACGCTCTCTCAAACAACAACCATATCAACACATACACACAGATACAAACGCTCTCTCAAACAACAACGATAACAACTCATACACACAGCTACAAACGCTCTCTCAAACAACAACGATATCAACACATACACACAGCTACAAACGCTCTCTCAAACAACAACGATATCAACACATACACACAGATACAAACGCTCTCTCAAACAACAACCATATCAACACATACACGCAGCTACAAAAGCTCTCTCAAACAACAACGATATCAACACATACACACAGCTACAAACGCTCTCTCAAACAACAACCATATCAACACATACACACAGCTACAAACGCTCTCCCAAACAACAACCATATCAACACATACACACAGCTACAAACGCTCTCTCAAACAACAACGATAACAACACATACACACAGCTACAAACGCTCTCTCAAACAACAACCATATCAACACATACACACAGCTACAAACGCTCTCCCAAACAACAACCATATCAACACATACACACAGCTACAAACGCTCTCTCAAACAACAACCATATCAACACATACACGCAGCTACAAAAGCTCTCTCAAACAACAACCATATCAACACATACACACAGCTACAAACGCTCTCCCAAACAACAACCATATCAACACATACACACAGCTACAAACGCTCTCTCAAACAACAACGATAACAACACATACACACAGCTACAAACGCTCTCTCAAACAACAACCATATCAACACATACACACAGCTACAAACGCTCTCTCAAACAACAACCATATCAACACATACATTGACGAACAGAGTCAAGCCACACTATTGAAGTGTCTACTGCACATTTATCAGAGTACACTGTTTTGTCCGCCGATTACTAAACAAACATACATGTACCTACCACGGTGTGAAATGGTGATTTCATGTTGGAGTTTCACTGACATGGTAAAACAAACGTGTTTGGTGCGTGGATTTCCCCTGTAAATGCCCCCAGCAGTCAATACTGTGCACACTGCGCGCCACAGATTACAGGAGTACGGGATAAAGCGGTTGAGTCACGGTATCAGTTAAGTGCGAGCGGAAATTACATATTTGATTCAAGAAGCGAAAATGGCATTAATAAATCAAAGTGTGAAATTACAAGTCGATGTTTATTGCGTTGCCACGGTAACGTGTAAACAAATCATTACGTGAAGAGTGCGTGTTTAATGTCAAGCAACTGATCAAGATGTGTCAAGGGTCAAAGCAGTAAAATATGACAATATAACAGGCGAAATGTATTGACGAAGCAAGCATTTCATAGATATATCAGATGATATTGATATTTATTTATTTTTAAAACCATTAATGGTAAAGGGCATATAGTATACACTGCACCTATACTACTCAGCTTTTGAAAAGGATACTGAAATATTTCCTTCTTATGGAATATACTAACTATAAGAAATCACACCTTTGCATTCTGCTGAAGACTCGTAAAGATCCAGGCAGTGAATAGGTCATCAGCAACCCATGCTTGTCGGAAGAGGCGACTAACGGGATCGGGTGGTCAGGCTCGTTGACTTGGTTCATGCATGTCATCATATCCCAATTGCGTAGAATGTTGCTCATGATGTCAATCACTGGATTATCTGGTCCAGACTCGAGTATTTACAGACCGCCGTTTCAGAGGATTGAGCCGGGGTCAGGGATGGGTCTGTCCAAATATGCCGTGCTCAAAGAGTTTTAAAGCAATGTTTCAAGAGAAGTGAAAAATAACCAGTAAAAACCTTTTACGGCAAGCATGGGTTGCTGATGACCTAATCTACCCCGGATCTTCACGGGTCTGGACTGGATTTTTTACTATATCCTATATGTATCATAGCATCTGAGGTTGTGCAAAGTCATTGCGCACTGACCGCCTCCGTGGTCTAGTGGTAGAGCATCCGCCAGAAGAGCGCGTGGTCCCCGGTTGCGTCATACCAAAAGATGTTAAAAGATGGTACTTCTTGTTTCCTTGCTGCCAGTCACACATTCGGGATTTTTACTGCCGTCTTTGATAGGACCATTTAAGATAAAAAAATTTTGTCAAAAGTCTGATCAAGATCCTTTGATTCGTGGCGGGAAATTAACAGACAATCAGATATTGTTCAGGAAGCCCGATTCAGCCGTTTCCAGCCGAATTCGTCCCGATTCTCCCGTTCTCAATCCGACTCTGACCCGATTTGTATCTTCTGCATGGTAAAAAACGACCGATTCTGTCCACACAATGTCCCGATTCTCCCGCATACGATCCGACAGAGATCAGACAGTGACCGGACAGTGAACCGAAAAAGACGGTTCGCATTCGGCAAGATCTGGACGCAATCTGGACTCAAGCGACAAGAAACGGCAATGAACAATTCAAGCCCGTTCATCACAACATCGTCCCGATCCACAATCCACCGTCCAGACAACACAGGACATTGTTACGATTTTGATCCGATACAGCAGAATCTGTCACGA